CAAGACTACAAACAGTACAAGACAATAAATAATCTTGAAACTTAAATAGGAAGAATCCATAAGTATACTAAAACAAGTTGGAAGCATAACATGAAGTCGTCTTAAAATAGGTTGCCTCTCTAAAAGAATGATAAAAATGAATGATAGAGTTTGGATGCAAAGTGTTCAACCGAATGAAAAAATTGATAAAAAAGAGATAACGAACCTGGAAGTCCAGGACCACAAACAGTCCAATACCATATAGGCAGTCCTGAAACATTAAGAATCCATAAGTTTTGTAAATAGTCCTGAAACACTTTGCATAGAATAACCATAGATTGACATTAGAACAAATTAGACGTATCGAGAAACAAACAATTTTCTGACTCGGTCAGTGCTTACCCAGTCACTTCGTAAACAACAATTTTCAATCGGGTTAATGCTTTAGATGACTTGCAAACTATCAGGTTAATGTTCAACTTGGCTTGCAAGTCTAAGCATCACAAGTTTTCATCAGTGCCTAAAACGTGATTCTTGGAGCTTACACAGCTGAAAAATGTGCCGCTTTTTCCCAGGCGTTTTGCTTTCCAACGGTTGAAGGATGCATAGGCGTTTCCATCCTTTAAGATGCATAAAGAAGACGAAGGTTAATACTTTTAGGAGAATTACGTTCTAAAACAATAGACGATAAAAGAAACAAGAAATTTGACACTATTACTCGATTTCTTTTACCAAATAATTTGAATCATTTACCTTCTTTTTGCTAAAGGGGTTGCCAAAGGTTGCTTATTGACCCCATTTGTAACCCGCAACACCAAATTCGCATAAGCTTAAGTTGTATAAAAAGCTATCACAACAACTTAATTAACATATACCACTTAAGTTGTATAAATACATACCACCTTACTCGATAAGAGCAAAACAAGGAACGAAAGTCTTACCCGGTAAGTAAGAGTGATAACTCTTACCATGGTTAGTGCTTACCGGATAAATTGTTGCATACGATGTTGTTTTCGTAGACTAAAATCTTACCTGATAAGTAAGCGATAGTGTTGAATTCACGGGTAAGCGCTTACTGGGTAAGTGATTATGTAAACGACCCCTAACTTTAAATCCTGGACAACTAATACACTATCAAAGACTAATTGGTCTTTGATCACATTCACAGGTTACCACAAAAAGGGAAATCATCAAGAATGACATGAACCTGGAAACTTCAGTTTTAAATAAGTGCTTTACTATAACCCAAATCAAAATATAATTAAATATAAGTAAATTAAATTAAAATCCTTTAAGAAATAGTAATAATTGGTTCTAAGTCAAAAGGAAACTTTCTGGAGTTTAGAGCTCACTTTGACTACAAGAATGTAAAAACTTAAAAGAGCAGACCATGATACAAATACCCATGCTATTGTTATAAAACCTCATCAATTTTTGTATATTCCATTCTTCTAATTCTCAGTCACATGGTGCTTTTATACTATATACTCATTGTGATCTCTGTCTCTTACACACACCCACACATGCATTTCGCACATGTACATACAGTGTTGTAGCAGGTTTTTGCAGCCACAATTATTGAACAACATAAACCATAAGTGATAGCATTAGTTATAACATTAGTTATACAAGATAATGGCTTGCAAGACTCGGACATAAAAAGCAAATCATAATATACAGGTTTGTATTTCATACCTCTCCGGCAGTCAGAGAAATAACATGAGGTGTAAAACCTTGTCCGTGTTCCCTGAATAAACAGACACAAAAATCACATAACAAGTATTCAGTCATGACAGATTATATACATGAAAAACATGAGCGGAGTTGTGTTTTATTTGAACAAAACACAATTAGAAATCTGAAGAAAATCATGTGATGCTCCAACGACAAAGCAGTAAAATAACCATCTAAATTCCAATTCAAATCATTAGAAATAGAATCGTAACGAATAAAAAACCATCAGTTAGTAGAGTACAGCTAGAACATAACATACGGTGCACGTCTAGCGGTCAATCTGGCATACGGTCTGGTTCCATTGACATCAATTTAGCTTGAATGCTCTAGATTTGTTTTCCTCTTTAAATATATAATATTTATATATACAACAAAACTCACACAATCCTCAACTTTAGAAAGTTGACTTAATGGAAAGTTCAGCTCTACCAGATACCATTAATGGGTCATTGACACTTTGGTTGCTCTAGATTTATTTGATTCATGTTTTTGCATGAAACCTATATACTAATTGAGCTAAAGGTGCCATTGAAAAGGATTCAAGAAAAGAAAAAACAACGTTATAACATAGGCACATTCTCATCAAGCCTGCACCATGCAAGGATTATTGGTGCAGGCTCTCGAATCCATGGGCTAATACAAAGAACTGTTTTAATTGTAGGCTGTGGAAAAGGCATATGACATTCAAGGTCAAAGGGCCTAATCTTTTAGCTTTGAAATGTATAAAGAGGCCTCAAATCTTCAAGATAAGTTAAATAATCAACTAAAAAAGTCACAAGTTTGACCTCAAAAGTCAAAATGCACATTTTTTTTGGTTGATGAAGACTGAAGTAAACAGGACCCTAAACATAACACCATCAAAGGGCTTGAATCGACTTAACGAAGATTAAGATGACTAAATAAATAAACATGTTGTAGCAGGTTTTTGCAACTACAATTTAGAACACCTTGACTATGATGTTTGATATGGTTAATACTTACAGAATGTTGTTTAATGGTTGAAGGTTTTTCAGTAATGTGCCAACCGACAAGGGTACAAAAATCATTTAATTGACTCGAACTACTGTTTTTATAAACAGGCCTAACAAGGAAAAACCAAGACAACGRCTTAACATGCCACATTGAGAAAAACAAACTGCATTGGTGCACTTTTGTAAACCCTTTGAATGTGATAAAATTTTAGACCATTCTAAGCTATGTAAAAAAACTAACCCTTCGAGAGACGTTGTTCTTATAGCTCCTGAAATTATATTTTGGAATATCCACTGCTTCCCCATGCTTCAACATCTTCATAGCTGACAATAACTTCTCATTATCGAAAGCATCTGAAAAAAACAAATAGGGAAGTATCATAAGAAGCATGAAAACAAATTTCAGTTTAGAAAGATTAAAACAAATTACTCCACCAAAAGAGATTATGATTAACGACATATGTCAAAATGCCAAAGCTTTATGACAAAAAAAGATAATCGGGAGGTCCTCTGAAAGATTTGGGGTTGCAAATGATGCCTGTCTATCAAAAAGAAGATGGATGATCCCTTTTTACTTCAAAATTATTAGGAAAATAGCCGATTTAAATAACAAAACTTGCCAGGATGATCAAAGTTGTACTCATGAACCCTTGTAAGTTCTTCAACAGTCAAATTATGATAGAATGAGTCCTGTCAACACACCCATATATTCCTATGTGTTAGATAACCAACTTTAGTGGGATCAAAATATAATAGAACAGAGAGCCTTATTGATAGACAAAAGGGCAGATTAACAAGATTATAAAAAATGCAAGAGAAAATGGGATATCATCTAAACAAGGCCTTTTGCATACTTTATACATTAATTCTTAAATTGTCAATGAAGGAGAAATTAAAGATACCTGGTTAACAAGTACAACATGCTGATCATGAAGCTGCTCGATGATCATATCACAAACTGTTGTCTTCCATGAAGCAACCCCTGTATTTTTGTCGGATCATTAATAATAAGAACACATCATCATAAAGAATAACATGTATGAAAATCTCAAACCTTCCAAAAAGAAAAAGAGAATGTACATGCAAAGGATACACACACAGAGCATTTTGTATGACAAAGAAGATAGATCTTATCTATCTCAGCCAATACTCATTCCCTAGCAAAACCTTGTCTAACTTGGTTATGCATCATAATAAGAAAATGAGATTAAACTGAAGCTTTAGTTATTGCCTTCAGGAATTATTCTAAAGCAATCTAATTTCGAACTTTGAGCAACATACTTCACCAACATAATTCTTGGTTCTACAGAAACCATACACATAATTCTAATAACATGGACAATAAACCCAAACGGAACAGAAGTTGCCAAAGCCAATCCTTTAACTAAAGGGTTGGGTTCCAATGTGAATAAGAATTATAGTGAGAAGGTGAGAACAAAACATTCATATACTTCATCCACATTCAACTACTTCTAGTTACCTTTTTGTATCATCATGACCAAAGGCTCAAAAGTGTTCTCGCCGTTCTCACCATAGCTCTTATTCTCACACGATCCCTCATCTTTAACTAAATATGTCAAAACCAAAATAGTATAAAAGTGAAAATCTACAAAAATRAAAARATTAGTGYATGGACATAACCCCATTACTTGAAAAGTTATTAAAACCGAATGAGGGTCAAAATCAACAAAAAACAGAAAAGTTTATGGATGACTTTTAGAACCTCAAAATCAAACAAGCAGGGAAATGAACAACTTCAAAAGTCAAAATGATTCATCAAAAAACTATAATGGCCGTTTACCAAATACTTACCCAGTAAGTGTGCTTACTGGTAAAATTTATCACTATTATTTATTTGCCGAGTAAGATTTTAGTCCGCCAAAACGACATCGCATATAACAATTTACCCAGTAAGCGCTTACCGTGGTAAGAATCGTCGCCCTCCCTTACCGGGTAAGATTCTTGGTCCTTACAATATTCATCCAGTAAGATAATGTGACTTGGTAAGCGCTTACCCGGGTAAGCGTTTGGTAAACGGTCCCTAACAGTTGTTCATTTCACCCTTATTCCAGATAAATGTCTAATTCACACAGGGCTTAGTGAAAACAAAAAAGAAAAACAAACATTCACTCGGTCTCATGGAAGCTTCATAAATGATGTCACATGCATCAGGTCATAAGGCCACATGCAGATTGGTAAAAATGCTTATAAACATATCACAAAACCATTTGCATTTAGAATCCTATTATTCAGATAAGAGGCTACTATACTGAAAATGAAGTAGCAACACTACAGGGATAAAATGTGAAATTCTTACCAACTCATTGGACATAAAGCAAATTCCTGCAAAAGAAAGTAGATCARTAAAATTGCAACATATAYAAGTTATACARCAWAYTAAARTATGTATGTAGCAAAGGAAAAACTTCCATGATCCCTACACTTTGAAWTCAATCCAATAGACAGTAAAATGAAAAAGAACAAATCTATGGCAACAATAACTGACCAATTTCTTCCCYTTTTCTGAGAGAGTGCATAATTGGTAAGAGTTGATTATAGGCAAAACAATGATGGTGAGTTTGTTTGTTGCCACATGTTTGCCCAGTAAAAAACACAGAACTTCAGCCRCTCACCAATAAGATATAGTCTTCAACATCAAGGCCAAACTCTGAAGCATTCACTGCATGAACCATCAAAAGCAATAACACTAATCATGTGCTTGTAAAGCACACATTAAGAAAAAGAGCGAGAGAGGGAGACATGGGGGATTAGCTGTATATATAATAGCCTCTCAAAAGTTAATTAAAGTTTAGGCATGTACATAGTTAAAGGAAAACTTTGAATACCAGATGAGACCCCAAGTAAACAATCCCTAATTCCTATGATTGAACTAATTTCGTATTCAATCATATCATGATCTCAGAATCAACGGTGGTTCTAAGTGAAAATTTGACCTAAATTTGGAGAGATAAATATATACCTGCTCGATCTCCAACGATCATGATCTCTAGAAGCATTCTTCTTCAAGACGCCATTGTTAGTACAGTCACCTGGACACCAAGAGATCGAATTAGGTTGGAATCGATTTCATCAAAATCTCTGTTCTTGGAATCGATTTTGTTTATAGGATATGGATGGCGATAAAAGGGATTGGGTTTAGGAATAGGGTTGCCGATAAAAATGGGATTGGGTTTAGGGATAAGCAGATCGGGGATGGCGGGGGTTTAGGGATACGGGTGGAGGGGTTTTAGGTATAATATGCTTTAGTAGGTTGTACCTAAAGCAATAGAGGTTGTCTTTAAGAGTTTAAAAGTTTTAAGAGATTTTAAGAGATTTTAAGAGTTTTAGCCAAATGCTTTATAAGATAGTATAGTTATAGATTACACTTGTTTGATTACCTTCAAATATAAGAGAAAGAGTGACTTGGGGTGGGTCTTTTGGATGTTAATAAACAAAATACATTAATATCTTTAAATAAAAATAATACATTTGTGTGTGTGTGTATATATATATATATATATATATATATACACACATAAATGTATTATTTATATATATATATATATATATATATATAGTAGAAGGGTATTCGTGTAATACATCGAGACACATTTACATTTCAATGTTTCGTTTTATTTTTTTATCCATGTCGATATAATCCGATTTTATGTGGTTTTGAGAAAGCGATAATATTTTTTTTTTGAAAAATATAAATTTGAAAATATCATATAAAATTTGTAAAAAATATATCAATATTAGTATCAAATTAACTAATTAAAAGTTCTTGTTTGTTTATTTTTTTTTTTCAACAATTTTACTATAATTTAATTTAACGTAACGAAGTAACTTAATTTAGGTTTAATAATAGTTTTTTTATAAAGATAATAATTAAATATTATGTTAGAACTCAACAATTATCCTAATTATATTTTAGATTTTTTATATTTTAAAATGAGATGTTTATCCTCTATTTGATTATGTTTATCTGCAGTTAGTTACACGAATTCAAACATAAAACTTTAATAAGTCGTATTTATGCACAATTTACTTGTAATCTTGAATTTTAAGTAATATACATCAATAAATAGTACTTTATGCATCATAAAAGGTTTTTAAGAGTGTTTGTCAAAATTTTATGATCTAGTATATATATATATATATATATATATATATATATATATATATATATATAGAGGAGCGATCAAATGAAAACCACTCCAATTTGTAAAAACCGTAAAAACTATTCTCATCCGTCGTAATCTTATGAAATTTTTTCATGAAATTGTTTA